GAGAGCATACCAGCAGCCATCGCCGCTGGCTTTGCAGCGGTGGAGTATATAAACAAACTGGGGCAGTTTGGTGATTTGCTTCGAAACTGGTCGTCAGTGACGCCCGGAGCAGAGTTGATGCTCGAGGTCGACAAAAGCAGCGAAGCTGAAGTCTTGAAGCATGTGGAAAAACTATGCAAAGAGATCGCGCATGCCGTAGACAACAACAAAACAATTTCAGTCTTGGGGATTAGTTCTCAGTGGCAAGCCAATCTGGGTACGAGGGTAGTAGATGATACCCCATTCCAGAAGCTGGTGACAAAAGTTCTGGCTGTCAATCGATCAGGGTGCACGGCCGTGCATGCTGAGCCTGGGGTGGGCAAGTCCATCGCATCATTGAGGGCACTGCCAGCTGGCAGAGCAACCCCTTTCACACAAGAAAAGATGTCGGCAAGCCTTCGCGACACGGATGAGCCCATCACTTGGTGTTTCGTTTTGAGCAGCTTTTGACCATGCATGGCTTCAAATTGATGTCAACATTACAACCTTCTGATGTATTTTGTTTCTTTTGCCGCCTCTGAGTTGCGCTTGGTTCGAGAAACAGCTGTTTTGACCACACTTCAAGTTTGTGTTTTTCCCTCCAGTTTTAAGGACAGATTGCTATGGCGTCACATTGCCATCAGCGTGAGCGCCAGGTCTCACTGTCGCCAGGTCTCACAGCAGGTCGGCGATCATCGAACCGCATTGCATTCAACGTGATAGAGAAAGAAGACGAAGGGATTGGTCTTTGGGTTTGTACAATGAGGGAATTTGCCCATCAAATGGGTCGACTGGTCGACCGGAACCCGAACCTTCCAAAATGAGGGTCGGAACGTTGGATGGAGGTCTCCCCATTATGAATCATGTAAACTCTTGGATTAATAATCACCATATGAAGCGGTTGTTCAATCCAAATGGAGGGGGTGAAATCGAATCAAAAGCTCCACGTTTCGCTCGAAGACCCCCCGCGCGGCCGCGAGACATCGAAGGGAGCAAGGCCCCCACAGATGGGAGTGGCCAGCGAAACGGTCCAAAAGATGGTGCCCTCAAAACCTTTCATAAGCCTTCACAAGGTGTAAAGCCTTTCATAAGCCTTTCATAAGCCTTTCATAAGCCTTCAGTACCTTTACACGGTGGTTTTTTTTTGGATCGTTGGACAACTTCTCCCCGGACTGCGATGGATTGCGATGTTGGCGGCAATTTCAAGCGGTTGGAGCGCAGCTCCACTGAACAAACTCACATCAACTAAGAGATTCACACCCATCGCTCCTTTCAATCCTTTTCCCAGACACTCCATGGGACTTATATAATTTACATACATGAACCCCTGAGACCACCCCAAGGTAGGTCTCTTTTCCAATACACATGAACCCCGGAGACCACCCGAATGTAGGTCTCTTTTCCAAACATGGAGTGCTTGGTTGCTTTTGGCAGGAAGCTGCCTGGTGTCGTTTTCGACGGTCCGAGGCCTTCTACGATGACAACGGCATCACCATCGATGGCCACACCGACCTCTCCTTCACCGAGGATGTGGGCAAGCGCTTCGAGCCATATGGCTGGCAGGCGCCCTGGACTCAAGGACTTAATAGGTGAAACAGGGGGGCAAAGATCCGGACCTGATTTCACCCCTGTTCCCAACCAGAAACACTTGGATGTTTTCCCCATTCCCAGCCGCTTCGTTTTCAGGATCTCAAGCCATCATGGGGAAGAACCACCTCGTTGGTCCGTCAACCCTGGTGTGATGTTTCTTCATCTTGGAGGGTGATGATGCATTGGGATTGCGAAGACACAAGAGTGTGGGCTTTGTTCACATGATCATGGATGATCCCAGGATCCTTTTCCTTTGCAATGTCTTGAACACCAATGGTTGTTTTGAAAATCAAATGATGCTTTGAACACCAATGGTTGTTTTGAACACCAATGGTTGTTTTGAAAACCAATGGTTGTTTTGACAGCCAATGATGTGTTGAAAACCAATGATGTGTTGCAAACCAATGGTTGTTTTCAAATCGCAGCATACATGTTTTCAACCTCATGACGTTTCTGCATTTCTTCGGTTGGATCCCATGGGTTTGTGTCGAGCCACATGGCTCGTTTCGCTCGGCAGGTGCTTGAAGTGCCAGAGGGCAACACTGATGTGGATGCGATCCGGAAGGCCATCAAGGCGGAGCTGGCCTTACACCGCACAACGAGGGCATTGTTCAAGAGAAGGGACCTCATTATTAGTATATTCTGTATATCAGTAGAATGACCTCCAAGTCCTCCAGAATATGGGTATTTGAACCAGGACGTGAGCCGTTCGTGACCTCTTTTTGGAGTTTCTGTTTGTGACCTCACATACAGGCCTGTTTGTCACCTCATCCTAGATCTCAAGGACGGTCACTTTGAAGGTCCTGGGATATCTATATCTATAAAATGGAATCCAATGGGTATTGCCATGGGTATGAACTGATGATTGGTACTGCTATTGCCAGCTGTTACTTTCAACTAGCTTTTGCTTTTCAAAGGTTGTTGTGATAGGACCGTGCTCGCTCTGCGTGACCGAACCATGCATGTCCAGCTTCATTGAGGATGATACCCAACTGAGGGCCCTTGCTTCATAGGGACGAACCAACATCTCTATTCCTTGGTCTGGCAGTTGGCAGTTGGCTTGCCCTTTTTGCCACCAGCTTGCTACGTTTCATCATTGATTCACCGACCAAAGCCCATCACAGGAGGCCAAGGCTTGCACGGACAAGCCCACCCTGATCAAGGCGCAGTTTCACCGAATCCGCCGCATCCATCGCGCCGAATCCGCCGCGCGAGCGATTGGTGCGCGCAAAAAAACAGCGGCGGTGAAGATATGTTTTATTTGCAGGTGAAGACCACCATCGGCTTTGGCTCACCCAACAAGGCCTGAGACCAAGCACTCCGAGCACGTGACAAATGAATGAACAGAGTGAACAAAGACAGATGGAGGTGTCCAGTGCCTGGTTGATGACTCTGAGGCTGACAGCCATGATGCCCACGGAGCGCCCTTGGGCGCAGATGAGGCGGAGGCACGAGAAGCAGAGTCCTTGAAATCATTAATGTAGACTCTTGAAGAGGATTTTACATTTCAATTGGGTGCTTTATGAATCAAGAGCTTACACTGTGGAAGTGAAGAATGGTCCCTGAAAAACCGGGGTGTTGTCCACTTCCACTGTCATGGATCCGGAGCTTCGTTCGCTCCGTGCTTTGGATCACAACACTTCGTGGGGAAGAATCCCAGGCCACACGCAAGCAGCTGGGATGGAACTACGGTGAGTTCGAGGTGCAGAATTCAAACTTTTTCAACGTGTTCTTCAAGTTCAGGAAGGCCATTCATGTATCGAGTCTCATCAAGTTTCGCCAATTCTGTGTGAGGTGCCAGACCAGGTGTATGACACCTTCAGGAAGCATGCCAAGGCTGGCTCTGAGAAGCAAGCGGCCTGGAACAAGATGTTCAAGGCCTGGTCGAGCACAGGCTGCTCCACCAAGCATGTTCAAAGGACCATCCTCAGACTGCTCAGATCACTGTCAGGAGTACCAGGAGAAGGAGCCTGAGCTCGCTGCGCAGTTCAAGCGCGCGGTGATGGACCGTAAGCTTCCTGAGAACTGGGCGGATTGCCTCCCCAAGGTGGGCCTTTGAACGGCTTTGGGTGGTTGCTCGGGATTTTGAGACGGCCACCAGGTGACCCCGGAGGACAAGGGCAAGGCCACCCGCCTCCACTCCCAGGAGAGTGCTTGTTCGATCGCGAAAAAGGAACGGCTGCCGATTCTTTTTTGTATCATTTTATAGATATTTGGGTGTAGCGAGTATTATGTGCTTTTCCAGGTCAAACATACACCATTTTGTATCATTTTTGTGTAGCGGTGTAGGGAGTCTACAAAGACCAAAAACTGCGGATCCGGCAAATCCTTCACAGGCACACTGTAAAACCCTCGCAGGACTGCCTGAATGCCATTGCCAACGTGCTGCCCGAGTTCATGGGTGGCTCCGCTGACTTGGCTCCTTCGAACATGACCTTGTGGCTTGGCTCAAGCAAGATTTGGATCTGTTTGGGAATATGGTAGGGCAGACCGCCTGGTGAGACCCCTGGAAGAGGATGTTATAGAACAAAAAATGGACATTTTTTTTGGCAGGGTGTGTACTTAAGAGGGAGACATCCAACCAATGGGTTTTGCTATGTTCCTTTCTTCCATGGGTCTTAGAGAGGTCTTCCTCTTTTAATACACACTCACAATGAAGACACAATCCCAAATCGGTTCTGTTTGGGAGGAGGATGGGCCGTCTCCTTAGTGATGCCTACGGCAAATATTCCTTGGCTCCTTACTCTTGCTTGGCTCCTTAGCTCTCCCAAGCCGATCTGGACCGGTGGAGGTCTCCCCTAGTTGGAGCTACACAGCCAGAGGTCGTCCATGTCGATTTTGGAGTCGTAGAGAAGGTGACATGCTTTCCTCTGGGTGACAGTTACGACTTGAAACAGTGAATTCGTCCAACTTGAGAACCTCCCAGAGAGCGGTGTCTTTTTCAAGCTTGGAAGGCAAAGGTGCCTTCCCCCCGCAGCCTGGCGACCGCCATGGAAAGAAGAAAGGAAGAATCAGAAGCTGGTGGCCCTGGCCGTAGATGCACCTCCTGAGCGCTCCGACCAGTGCAGGTCGTTTCGAGGTCCGCGAACCATCACCCAGTCGGCCCGGTTCGCCCAGTCGCGCGGGAACCGGGGACGTGGGTCTCACCATGTCCCGTCCATTCGAGCCACTGAACAGTGGATTGCAAGATGAAAACGGGTCCAGTCCGCACGAACCATGTGTTTGGGGAACATCCAAAGTAACACCCAAACCATCCCAAACCCACCTCAGTGACTTTGGAACACCTGAACAGAATCAGTCGTTTTTTTTTGTCTTTGTGGCACGATCTCTCCCTTGTGTCCCCCCAAAAAGAAGTCCCAGAAAACACCGGAAAGATCTTGGACCCTCCTCAGGATGAAGTGCACGGGCGACTTCCTGAAGGACAGCTACTCCGAGCGCAACATGCGCTTTGGCATCCGCGAGTTCGGCATGGGCGCCGTTTCCAACGCGCTGTCCCTGGACAAGACAGGCGCGCCTGGACGAGCGAAAAGGAGCGGTTGGGGTGGGGTTGGAGATGGCTGGGGAGGAGCAGTTGGGTGGAAGGAGGATCCATCAATCTCCAAGCTGTGTGGGTTTTAGGATGTGTACGACCTTTCGACTTCGGACCGGCATGTTTTCTTTGGCAGTGGAAGCAGGTCTTGTGGTCGATTTGGCAGGGTCTCCGCATGCAGGAGGTCTTGGTTTCGGAAGCTGCGGCGAGCAGGCTAGCAGCGGGTGAAATCACCTGTCCGGAGTGGTAGCGATCTTGGAAGACCTTTAGAGCCAAAAGACCTGACCATCTCATCCAACCCTGCGAAACCTCTGTGAACCCCCCCCCCCACCGTTCTAATGTCTGCTGGTGCTGAGTCGATTCAGGCCCCTGTTGTCGCTTCAGGCCCTTCCTCTGGGTACCTTCGTGCCTCCACGCCTCCACCTCCCCTCGTGGCGGAGGCATCATCCCTTACTGCGCCACCTTCACCATCTTCACCGACTACATGCGCGGCGCCATCCGCATTGCCGCCTTGTCCCAGGCTGGTAGCATCTTCGTGACCACCCACGACTCCATTGCGGCGCCGCGGCCGGTGGAGAGATCGGGCGCTTCGTGCCAGGTGGCCGGAAGAAAGGATCGGTGTTTAAACATCACCCAAGTTCAAGGTAAGCAGATGTTTTTTGGGAAGAGCTTATTAACTCCTATTAGTGGTTTTTAATTCCCTTTAGTGACTTGGCCAAGCCTCTTGGCAGAGGTCGCTGGTTTTTCGGATGGTGACCTGGTTGGTGTTTATCACTCACTCCGCACCACATGAGTGATGACGTTCACACCGGCCACCGGCCACCGGGGATCAGCGTGATGCACATGGTCACCGACGTCTTGGCTGAACACCAAGAGTCGTGGGTCGTGGCTCGTTGAGGAAGGGATGACATGATCACAGGATGGCACAATCCATATATCTAAGATCTATCCATTGAATGTCCAATTGGACTACCTTACACTACTTATAGGTCTCGATTGGGCACCCCTTGGAAGTGCTAGGTATCTAAAGATGATATTGCTTGTTGACTTCTTTTGGGTCTTTGCCCGCCCCTCTTTTTGGCCAGCCGCATTCGCCGCCGCATTCCCCTTTTTTTTCCAAAGAAGCAGGCTGACATGTCACAAAACAAACCTCTTTTCATTCCTGAAGCAACTGAGCTCAACCCATTGCCTCTCTCAAGTGACCGTTGAGAAAGGCAAACAACAGCTGAGGTGGGTGAGGATGGCCCTACCCATCAGCCCATCGAGACCTTGCCCTCTCTGCGTCTGATCCCGGACCTCACCGTGATGCGCCCCGCCGACGGCAACGAGACGGCGGGTGCCTACAAGCGACTCGGGACGGACAGGAGTGAGGAGGTGATTGGCCCAGAAGTGCACGGAACAAGAAGCAGGCAGTGAAAACACGTCGGACGACCCCCTCCGGACGCATACGAGCATGTCGAGAATGGGTGATCTGGTTTTGCAGTCTAAAGCCCTTAAGAACCAATACTCCCTCTGTAACTAACATGGAAGTGGCCAATGGTCTCTTGGAAGACCATTTTCCTCTACAAACAGGGTGTTTTCCACTTCCATGTTAGTTTTCGGGAGTGTAAATGAAACGGTGGCGAGAATAGAGTGATAGTTCAAGAATGTTCAAGAGTATACCAGAAGATCCTCCAACAGGTCTCCAGTCGACTTAGATTTGGGCTGCCGCCCCTAGAGACAACGGGACTGTCCTGGGTGTCAACGTCTTCTTCCTCACGTGACAACATACAGAAGCCACCCAGGACATCTCTCATCCGCTGAGGAAACCATGGTTGCCGGGGACAAATCGCAACATCCATAAGAATCCTCAAGCATAGCTCAATGGCCGTCCTCAGTCGGGCCATTCACTGAATGCTCTTCTACCTCAATGACCGGTCCGACCGTAAGACACGCTCTGTCTCCGCCTCCTTGAGCGGACTGCCCAGGTATGCCGTGGAGCGCTCCAAGAACGAGTCCCGACCCACGATGATGGCCTTCTCTCGCCAGGCCGTGGACAACTTGCCCAACTCGTCCATTGAGAACACCATGAAGGGTCCGAGACTGAGGGGGCGCAACACATGGATGGTTTTGCACATGGCATCCAACTTGCTGAAGAGGCGACAGAAGGATCTCAGCTCTTCCCAACTTGCCCATAGATTGATTCTCACCTTTTTCCATCGCTTCGGGTGGACGAGCACCGTTTCACGACGCGGCACGGATAGACCATTGGATGGGTTGGGTGATGGTCGAGCTTCTTCCCAGTGGTAGAATTCATGCCAGGCCCATGGAGTGGTACACCCCTTGACCCCTAAGGGGCTATTCATGGACACCCTTTCCGTGGTGCTGGTGCAGTCTTGGCGGGTTGAGGGGTCATTCGCTCCATAGCTTGAGGTGCCTATGAGGTCATCGAGTGTGAGAAGCCCGAGCTCATCTTGACGCTTGGTCATGCTTGGTCCTTTTCAGCATCTTTGCACCGTTCCCTTAAGCTAAACAGACCTATAGGATAGGATAGGATAGGATAGGTCTGTTTAGCTTTACCTAAGGATAGGATCATACAAAATCATCAACGATCCTATCCTTCTTTACGTCCTCCGAATTTGTCACCACACCGATTCCAATTGGTCTCCTCGTTCGAAAGCGAACGCCGTTCCCTGGTGCCCGACCGGGACCGGGACGGATCCACAGTCTGTGCCGCTCCGAACGTCGCCGTCCACCGTCGCGCTGAGGATCGGCACCGGCTCGGAGGTGGGTCTCTGCGTGGACGCCGCCAAGAAGCTGGACGGTCAGGCGCCGAACTGGCGATCGGTTGCGGAAAGCCCAGAAGCTGAGTGAGTGGATGACGTCGACGAGTGAGTCGGGTGGAACCGGACGACGGACGGTGGGACGAGGTGAGGTGTTTTGGACGCTCGTGATTGGACCTTGTTTCTTAAATTCTTCTCTTAGTCCCATCAAGTCCAAAACTCAAATTTAGTTTTGGACTTGGTGGGACTCTTTAACTTATTTTTTTGTGCTTGGACTCACTGTGCTGATTGAAGATATTGAAGGTGTCAAGCCTGGTGGAGGGCCTGGTGGGGAGAGTTTCGTGTTTGGTAGGTGCAGGGTGGGCTTGCAGGGGAATCAGAACATGCCCATAAGAGGGATGAGGGAAGCTTTATGCTACTGATGTTGAGCGTCCATGACATTTTACGGTTCCTTTTTTTTTTGGTTCTTTGGGCAGTCGTTCAGGTCGTGCCAACGGGACAGTCGTTGGATCGCCCGCTTACACACACACTACAGTACACACAGACACACATCATATGCATTGGTCGGTGTGGGTCGTTGGTCGGTGGGTCGTTTTCCCGAACACATCGAATTTTCTTCTTCAGTCGATCTGTGGGCGTCCATTAGTGGTTCTTGGGGCGTCGGTTTTTGGGGCATCTCACCCTGTCGGAGCTCCCTCATCCCCGCAGGTGCGAGTGGTCTCCATGCCCTCGTGCGAGGTCTTCAGGGCTTCTTGGCTTTGGTGGGCAGTGGTGGACAGCCATGTGGCACGGAGAACCGGAATCTCACACTGGCTCCAATGCTGTCATTTGTGGATGATGGCTCCAATTCCAGATTTGGGATCAAAAAGGCCCCTCCCGGGATTTTATCACCTTAGGAATGCTTTTGCAAAGTCCAATAAAACAGATAAAAGCACATACAATATTCATGGAATTTTGATCTAGCAATTTGATTCAATGTCATTTATGAACATCCATGAAGATGAAGGGATTGTGAATCGGAATAACTTTTGGTCATCAACTTATTTTCACACCCAGCATATTTTCTTTATCCTATATTATTGCTCGTTGTTTGCGAAAGAACACTAATTTATTATGATTATGATAGAGATAGAACATGGACCATTCATTTTATTGGCTTTGTTGGTAATCTATCCCCAACGAAATTACATAATGAAGATGAAAAAGACGAATGAAGATCCACTAAGAAAAAGATACCCCAAAAAAGACAAATGCAGATTTTCATGATCAGAGTTATAGAACTCATGGTGTTCCAAGAGATGTTAGGAGCAAGACATCCGAAAAAACCGCTCTTTTCTCCTATCAGGCGAGAGAACGAACACGGTCATGTACAATATATTGGGTGCTTCCAAGCGGTCCAGTTTCTCTACATGCCGTGGAGTTGAGCTGCCCTGTCACTCCGTGTTCACCAGTTTTCAGCGGTTTCAGCCGGACCGCGGAAGTTCCATCACATGGGTCGTTTGAAGTGTCGCAATTGAGCGCCATCGGTTCGGTTTCTTAGCAAGTAGGGCTCTTCTCCACGAGGGGTGGGTCATGGCATTTTTTATGTCAGATCCCAGGTGTCCTCAGGTGCCTAGGTGCCTCGGCTTTGGGTTTGAGGCGCAGCCGGACAGCTACAAGAGCAAGCTGCTCCCAGCGGACGTGCCAAAGATGAGCGTGGAGGCAGAAGCCGAGCCAGAAGATCGATCTATTTTTGGAAACTGGTGAGTTTGAAGCTATTTTCCTTTCGGAGTACTGCAGTAATTATGATCGCTTGAGCTGGGGACCTTCCTGCCCGAAGCGAAACTGGGGTGAACACGGAGAAAAGACACAAAAGAAAACTGGGCGAACACGGAAACGCACATGAACATACATACAACTCAGACTTTTGCCAATCCCCTTCAGGTGTACCTTTCCAATCAGACCCTCCAAAAACTTTTGAATCTCCTTTTGAAAGCAACAACAGCAGAGCCAAGGGGCATCTCAGGAGAGGTACCGTTTGAGCTGCATCGCGAGGTAGTTGTGCAGTGTTGTCTTGTCATGTCCTGATGGGTTTTGTCAAGATGAATTGCTATCAATGCCTAGACCCTGCATGACAACCAACCGCCAAACCACCAAACCACCAACCAGTCAAGGTGCTATCAAAACAGGGGTGAAATGGGCTCTAGGTAAACAAAAAGTGGGACATGCACACACACACACCAACCTGATGAGAGCAACCTGACCGCACTAAGGAGACAAATACCTTACATCAGCTCAACGCCCGTCTGAGCCCCAAAGCCAGCAACCCTCGACTTGAAGAAATCCTAGACTTTAACCATTTCCCCTATATGCAGGTGACCGTTTCTGCTTTCTGCTTTCCGCCCACACGTGCCGCCCTGCTTTGCGCCCCAGCTAAGACATCCTCAAGACCGACACTCAGTAGTCCTCCTCCTGACAATAGGAACAACACCTTCTAGGCATTTTTACCAAAACCAGCCCACAGCCTGAACCCCCAAAGCTTCAAACCGGGCAGACCACAAACAACTCGACTCTTTCATCTCGAAGGTCGGGACATGGAATTGGTCATCTCATAAGGTTGGTCAAGAAAAGGAGCACACGTATCATAGTCTGGTGGTATGTCTACCACCTTACACCCGCCCTCCGCCATTTCCTTGCACTGGCCATTTCGCCGACTACAACGTTCACAACAAGCACATCATAGGGACCGAATGGATTTGCAAAGGATTGTGCATGGTCACGGTGAGAGCAAGAGAGTGAACGCTGGCTTGCAGGCAAGCCGGCGAAAGCACAAGAATGCACTGTGACTTTGGCCCATCAAGCAACCCGATGCTAGCTCCTAGCGTTGATGGCTCCCTGTTGATGATGGCTGCGCGTCGCCGCCAGCAAGCTTGAAGCCAGTAAGGCGTGTGGAACTAGGAGTGTGTCCATAGGCTGTCATGTCCTGGCTGATTAAAACTGCAGCAGCCGCAGCTGCAGGTGCCGCAGTGGCCGTGGTGGCCGCACCGGCTGCTGTGGCCAGTGTTGGCGTTACATCAACCGGCATTGCTGCAGGCAGCACTGCTACCGCGATGATGTCGAGCGCCACGGCCGCCAATGGAGGTGGAGTGGCTGCGGGGTCCACTGTGGCGATTTGTCAATCCATCGGAGCAGCAGGACTCGGTGCAACAGCAAAAGCAGCGGCAGCAGCGGGTGCTGCCTTGGGTGGCACGGCAGCGGTGGCGCACAGAAGCCGCTTGTGAGAGGGTCACTTGTTTGGCACAGCCCGATCCCATTCGTGCACCATCGGCCTGTGTTTGGATAATTTCTGGGCTTTTGGAAAATGAAGAAGAGTTCTATACAGTGCTTGTCACGTGGATTTACAGGGGGGCTTTTGACATACGCCTCCTGTAAAGAAAACAGACATGCTTGATGCCAGCAGAAGACGGCATGGCATTGTCTCCCAGAAGTGACGGCATTGGCCCACAAAACGGAGCAGGTGACGCTTGCGCCCGCCCACAAGCCGGGGCGATGGATTCACAAGTGCGACATGGTCTTGGGGTGGGTCAAAAGCCATAAACAAAGGCCAAGTAGGCATAAACCTATAACACACATAAGATATAGCATAATACATAGCATAGTTTAACATGTGCAACATCAAACACCAGAAACGCTGCGATGGCGATAGGGGGGAGAGAGGGAGACTGCGGGGGAGGACCAGACGTCCTCACCGCACCTGAGACCTTGCGTTTCACCGCACCTGAGACCTTTCGGGTTCTTCTCTCGAGGGGCCCCTGAATTGTTCCTTTGTTCCTAGTAGCTTCTTGCTCCTGGTATGCCCTTTGCTTCTAGTAGCGATATTATTTATTTTGCCCTTATCATTTATATTCATATTTTAGTTATGTTTTATTAATATTGGTTGACTCTCTTAATTTCAAGGTAAGACATTATTTATCATATTGGAATGGGATATTTTACGTTGTAATCTTATGGATAACTCTTTTATGAATAATGATTGACAGGAAATCTTCTATTTAATTGAAAGGATCCTTCCGGTTTATTTTCATTCCTGTACACGCCTTTCATTCTTAGATTTAGGAGACACATTCTCATTTATTTTAGCTAAGAAGTCATCGTCAATTCATTTCCATCATCTTCTTTTATGTTATTCCCTGTCTTTTATGGAAATGATGTCATTTAATTCTTTATGCTATTTTATTCTTTGTATCTTATGGTCACTTATCTTTTATGGATTACTTCTCTTATTTTTTCATAATCTCTTGACAGGTTGGACCCATCGTTTACAGCCTTTATATTTTTTCCTTTCATTCTTTCATGATCTTCTAATTATAAAGGGAATTATCAAGAGGTTATTACTATTTTGCTATCATATTTTTCATCACCATCAATCCATTTCTTGATTCTAAGGGCATTTATCGCCACATAATCTTCACCAATTATATTTTTATTCATGGCGTATCTTCATTATTCATATTATTTTAGGATGTAATTCTTCCCAATCAAGAAGGAAAAAGGTAAGACGATAACCCTAAAAAATACCATCATCATTAATTTTCAATCTATCATTTATAAAATATCTCTCCCATATCCTCATATTATTGGATCAGGGACTTCGCGGTTTTACTTTCTCCTTTTTTTTGGTTCTTTAATCTACACAGCATTAATATTTAGGGAGAAATCTCATCATAATTATTCATTCTCTCATTCAACTTTTATTACTAATGATGAGATTTCATGAGTCATATTACTTTTTAATGTTAACACCAGCATTTAATTCATCCATCTTTTATATTTATATCTGGGGTTAACCAATGAATGATAAGGCCTAGCAATTTATATTCTATTTTGTCTCTTAATTATATTGCTAGGCCAAGTTTATTAATATCTATTCTATGGCCATTTAATATTTGGTTTTCTTTTATAGTTAAATGGCCATCTATTAATATATTTATGGGTTATCGCCAGGTTAGTTTATTTTCATTCTATTATTACCTGGCGATAAATATTAAAGATTATTATATATTATTTATTATCTTTATTGGTGCTTTTGCAAGATAGAAATATAATTAAAGATGCTAAAGCACATATTAGTATTAATTTTATCTATCTTATGTCCTTCATCCACGTTTATTCCTTTAGGATTACTATTATCAATAAACGTGGATGATCCCTTATTATTAAAGATATATGAACTGCTTCCAAGATTAAATATATGATGGTATAGCTTATAATCTTGGAAGCCATTATATTTATTCATGATGAAATTTCTGCTATATTTTTCCATAGAAATTTCATCCATAATTCACTTATCTATTGCCACTTAAAATAAGTGGCATGTTAATATACATTCTCATTCGTCTCCACAAGTGACCCCATTTGCCATTTTAATCTAAAATAATGGCAAAAGTCAATGGCTAGTTCTCTTATTCATTGTCATTAGGCTTTAAATTTATAAGAATTATTCATGAAATTTATAGCCGATATAACATCATATTATTATTGCACCTTTACAATTAAAATAAGGTGCCCTTGTTACTAGTAGCTTCTTGTTCTGAATTGCTCCCAAAAGCTTTCCTTTCAAGACCAATCTATGGACCTTTTCAGTGGCGCAGAGACGCGACCGAAACGAAGGTTTCGTGCCCCCGAAACCGCCAGGCGGCCTGCACCTCCGGCTGGGGTGAGTTCGTTGGGGACCTCGGCCGGTGGTCGGGGTGAGTTCGCATCGGCAGAGGTTGGCAGATGGCAAGGGGAAGTTTTCCGGGAACCTCACCTCTAAGGTGCTGAGTATTGATGAGCTGCACAACAAGAGGCGTTCACTGTTCACATCCTCCCAATGGGTAGGCTTTGTGCCTAAGCCGCTTCGAGCCAAAAGCATCAAACTATCCGAAACTTTGGACATCCTTGCACATTTTAGTCCCTTATCGTCATGTCCAAATAGATAGAGAGTAGCACGGTTTCCCAGACATTTTCTACGTGGGGATCTACGTTTCGATCTATTTGGAGACCACCTACATAATTCTTCTAAAAAAAGACCCTCAACAGTTTGGAGACTATAGTCCAATATATACACTTTATTTGGAGACCGCCTAGAGACCGCCTATTTTGCTAATATAACTCCTCTCTTCCCAGCTCCCCAGGCCGATGCCTTCGTGGGCATCGACGTCTTCGGCGCCTCTGCGCCGGGCGGCACCTGTGCCCTGGGCGGAGAACGGTGGTCGAACAGGGTGGTCGAAGTGAGGGTTTTTGGGACGACTGGGGTGAGGTCGACGGTGGATCGACGGTGGGGTGCTTGTTCGGGTGGTTGGGTGGTGGAAGCTGTGGTTGTGTAGATGGTTTTGGTGTCTAAATGTGATGCGGTAGAGGGATATTCAAGACATCATGAATGCATCACCTGATGGTTTATTCACTTCACCACTGTTAAAACCGCCTTCCTGCACATGATAGCTCTTGGCATCATCCTCCAAGGCTCGTTTGGGGGATCGTTGGCCACCCATCCCCTTGCGTCTCAACCCCAACAAACCGCTGTCCCACGGCTCGGGCGGACTGAGGGGGCCCCTCCTAGTCGAGGCCAGGAGCCCCGAACGTAGCCCCCGTCAAGGCCTGGACAAGTTCGGCTTCAACGTGGACAACGTCACCAGCTGCGCCGAGAGGCCGTTCCCGACGGGAGACGGGACCGAAGACGGGCCCGACGGGACGGTTGCGGCAGGGTCCGTGGGGTGTCACGCGCAGGGGATCCGCAGGTCAGACAGGCTGTGTGCTCGTTTTTCTCCAAGAATCCCCTAAGAAGGAATCCCGGAAACGTTTTTGTCTCTTTCAATTAGCATCGATACAAAGAGACCTTCTCAATTTAGTTACAAAGCTGCACGCTTTTGGTGCAGTCGTAAGTTTGGCAGGTTGACCACATCCTCCAATACTCTAGGACGCACTAATTATGAGAATATCCGATCCCCTCACCATCCCTCACCAAAGGAATTCCACTGTCCACAAAGGGTGATTCATGGACACCCCTCAACCATCGACACCTTTTTTGGGCCTATACCTGTTCCTTTTGTTCTTCTCCCAACCTTCGCCTCCATCCCCATCCCAACGACCTGAGATGCGTGCAGCGTGAACCGACGCTGCACCCACTTACGCGCTAACGGTCGACTCGACTCGACCGGTGCAGTGCTATGAGACTGAGGTGTCTCAAGGGCGAGCGAGGTGTGCTGCCGGGGGGGCCCAAAGAAAGAACAGGGAACCGGGGCCACGAGCGACTCGTTGGAGGATTGTTTTTTCTGATGTTTTGCTGACTTGGAAAAGAGGTGGGACCGCAAAAGCAACTGGAAGACCACTTCTGGTGAGTGCTGAAAAAAAGAGTCGGGCGTTTCGTCTTTGCCCAAATCGGGAAAGAGTTGCATGTTCTGGAGAGGAAACAACTTTGTTTTTCTTTTTGTAAACATTTTCAACCCAAGCCACCTTCGCCGCCCCTGTGAAGTTGTGTCAGCCGTTCCAAGCTACTTTGGCAAGACACGAAGAGATGTTCCTTCAACCTCTAAGTGGGCGCAGCATGTTGCAAGGCTCGTGATGGATTCACATCGGAGAAACTTGTTCCACGTGGCTATATGCATGAGAGAAAACTCAATTGGTTGATTTGACAACGTTGTGACATGACTCAGCATCACTTTGCGAGAAGTTTTCTAGGGCTATCTAGGGCTTTTGGCCCACATCCTCAGGCGGTTGGGGTGAGTGCCAGGGGGTCTAACATGGTCTAACTATGTCTAACTAACTTCTGAATATGTGGGTCAGGAGCCCCAATGAGGGAGTCCACAATGTTCTTTGCCCTCTGATCGCCCAGGTCCAACGGAAGCCAGGGAAAGCACTGAGCTGCCGAAGTGCCACAGCCAAAGAGCACACCAGGAGTCTCTCAACTCCTCTCCGGGCAGTATACGACCTTGATAGAGGGATTTACCTCTTCTTATTCAACCAGACCTTCGTGTCACAGAGCACTCCAAAGAAGGATTGAGGCCAGTTCAGGCCATACAGTTTCGCTACCCACTGCATTTGATTAGACAATATTAGACAAGGATTTAGAAAAGGATTGATATACCGTAAAAGGAACTTCATTAAAGAGAGAGCAGACCTTTCCCGGGGATAATGATTTGATCTAGTTTTTCAAAGTTTTTCACCTCTGTTTCCAAATGGTGTCGATCTCGCGGAAACTGGCGACTGGCCATCAGCCAGCATGAAAGGGCTGGCCTAAATGCCACAAGGAGCCCATCATCGAAAGTATCACTCATCAGAAACCAAACAATCATTCAACGCCCGGAACCTTCCTACGATTTTCGCCTTGGGCTCCCAAACGCTTGAGATCTGAGCCAATTTCTCCGCACATCCGAACGTCCAAAGAGCGGACCAAAAAGGAATCCGCACGAGGTCCACCGGTTCCGGCCGGGTGACGGGGCACCGGACGTCCACCGGGTGACGGGGTCGGCGGTCCGGAGGCGGTCGTGAGGTCCCTGGGATCGGGACGTCGGGCGGAGGGAGTCGGTACTGTGCACAAGCCGAAGTGAAGCTTCGGGTTGGCGCAGTGATGTACAGGCAATACCTAGAAGTGACCACTGAAGTGTTCAGGAAATTCCCTGTCACTCGGGATAGTCGGACCATTTCAAGAATAGTCAACTGGACTCCCAGGGTCATCTATTTTGTGGTGAACGAGGTGCGCAGGTTCGGCACCGGTGCCGAAGCAGTTCCAGAGGGCACGACGAATGTCCAGCCTTTTCGCCTGCTGGGTGTCAAGATGTCAAGCGCGGTAGCAGTGCATGGGGGGTTAGTTCTCAGCCTCGATGTTGGGGAAGCTTCATCAGGGAACTTGGTGTCTGTCCGCCATTGAGGTGCTTCCCACGGATGGTTTGGGGGTGTTCCAGGTGCTTGCTTGGGATGCACTGGCCCAGTGATTGATCGTTTAAAAGCGGAACCCGATGTATCAGGATGCCGTACCTTTTTGGAGCTACGAACCGCGTTCGTCTAGCAACTCGCCCTTCGATGCGGCTAGATGAGGCTGTTTGAAGGGTCAAAAGCTGAGCTACACATCGCTCTTGGCACGGTTTGATATTGCACACTTGGCTGCTCCTTGTCAAAGAAGTTCCTTTCTCCAAAGAAGAGCGATGGTCGCCAAAGGAACTCGTTCGTTCGGATGCGATTCGGTCGCCCGGCCCTGCGGATCAAACGGAACCAGTTTTGTTTTTAGTATCGGGACCATGCCAGGTCGGACATGTTTGAGCACCACTCAGCACCACCACTCCATCACTTCCCAACAGACTGGATTTTCTGGATGTTCTCCGCGCCGGACGACTGACGTCAGGAGCGGACACGCGCTTTCAACAACTTCCACTCTTTTTCCCAACCACAGCCACATCAACCAACCAGCCAGCACCTTTGAGAACGCAGCAATTCAGGAACTTCCTAAGAACCACCTCAACGGCGCCTCCCTTTTTTTCGACACAACAAGCGGCCTCGCCTCTGTGAGGGATCCGCAGGTGGTTTTTCTCCTGGACTTCTCCATGGCGCCTCCTCAGAAACGCCCGGCGGCCGAAAGTGCTGCCTTGGCGCGTGAGAAGACGCGGATCAAAAAGGAGGTGTGGCCAGTGGATGGGAAGGAAGGATATGGAAGGATGGGTAGGGTCGGTGGCTGTGGATGTTGGATGAGTATGGTTTCTAGAGTCGAAGAAACAGGTTGCCCTGAACTGGAAGCGGGGGGGTTGCCGTGCTGAGAAGGTTTACAAGACTTCTTGACAGATGGATGGATGTTGATGCATCGTGCATGATTCTTGGAGTGAAATTGTGGGGTTGACGGATTTCAACTTCCAATGAGGAATTCCTTCAAACTTCAAAGGCTGTACCTCGCTTTACACGTCACTGAGAGGTCATCAAGTCGGTTTTTTTTAGATCTGTTTACCATCCTTTTGGTGTCCGTGCCCTGTGCCCAGCAGTCGAGCCGTCAACGAGGTTTGAACCAAGCCCTGCAACCGAACGAGGCCGCGCAGCACTTCGCGGTGAAGGCCGCGGAGGAGGGTCCCACGGCCAAGCTGAACACGCTGCCGAAGTGCGGGAGCTCAACGGCAGGGTTTGGGATGGGAGAGGAGGGGAGAGGGTGGGAGGGCTGCTCAGAAGGACATATCACCAATGAAAGGTAGAAGGGGTGCACGCTAAAGGGGGTGAGGCTCTTATTGGAAACCCCAGGAAAAGACACATTGAGCTCGCAGGAGGTGCGCATTTTGATTTTCCATTTTGCAGCCACTTGCAGCCACTTGCAAGTGGCTGGAAGTGGCTGCCCAAGCAAGTGGCTGCCAAGTGGCTGCAAGTGACTGCTACTTCTGTCCGGAGAATATCAGGATTTCTCCGCACACAGCTCTGGAGAAAACCAAGATTTCTGCAATGCTGTTCTGCGTTTGCTCGCTCTCTGAAAAAAACAGGACAATTCAAGGAGAGCCAGGAAACACATGACTTGTTTTTGGTGGGGCCAATTGAACATGGCTTGAAGGATATACTGATATACTGTATGATATACTTATAAGAAAAAGTGGTGTCATGCTTTTGTTGGAGCACCTTTTTTCCTACACTAAGAGGTCATTGTGAAAGGGGCTGATGTGTAGGAAGCTTCTCCTCTACAAACAGGACCTTACAGGACCTTACCGGGTTACCTGTGGGATTGTCTTTAAGGTCATTCAACCTCTGTTGGTGTGAGGTGCTTTGTAAATTGTTCGTTTTGGTTCTTCGTTCAAACATGGGACCTCCCAATGGCACATGGACACCGCAGGTTTGCACATCAACGCAGCATCCTACAATGGTCCTACAAGGGTCGTTCACAATCTGAATTTATCGGCATCAATGATTGCGTGGGTCTACTTGCCCAACTTTACCACAAGAACTGCTCTGTTTGAAGGTGTTTTGCTCCCTCTCGTGGACACAGCTGAAGGGCATTGGGAAGCGTTCAGGCACATGCGCGAGTTTGACCTACAGCCACAGGGAAGTGGACACCTGACCCTTACGGGGATGCCGGTGGCAGCAGTTTCGGCCGAGCAATGGCTGCTGCAGCTTCCGACACTCCGGGAGTTGGCAGTGGAGGCGTCGCAGCTCGGCAAGACAACGTACGAGTGGAGCTCCTCGTCTCTTGAGGCGCGCTCTGTTGGGAATGGTTGGTGCAACGGGCTAACCAAGGAAGGAAGGTCCCACCACACCACTCAGTACGGGTAGAACTTCGGAGTTGGACTTCATATCTAGACAGATGTTTTTTCCCAGAGATCCAAGCCCGATATTGGCAACTCTACAGTCCCAGACATATCTCTGATCAGAGATCCTTTGACCTTGGGGTTGAGGGTTCAGGGCGACATAGAAACACAATGAAGCTGGGCATGCGAAGATGGGTTTTTGGAGGTGCTGGTTGGGTTTGGTCGGCAAACAATAGTGATGACGACCCCCCATGAACACTGACCGAACAATGCCCGCAGGTCGGGAAGCCTATGTCTCCAAAGCTTACATTTATTCAGATTTATGCATCAACATAGCCAGAAGGGACGCTCAGAATGCTCACTCATTTAGAATGGGGGCTCAAAACTGTCCTTGGTCAACATGTGCTCCGACATTCTTCCCCTTCGGCAGGATGAGTAACCACCCCGAAAGGCCCAAAACCTGGCTTCGCAACACCAAGACCCACTGGCATTAGTGATGGCCAAGAAAAGACCAACTCGCTCCCGAATATGACATGCAACCGATCCCAATTGAACATGGCGCGCTCCCAGACATGATGGCTCATTGGACAGGAGCTTTGTTCCAGCAAAAGCCTAATCCGCCACCCTCTTGCCACGCGCTCTATGTGCGACGTATTTTGCTTGCCCATTCTTCACGCTCAAGTTTTGTCGTTCAACATCGGTGAATTCAGAGCGCGCGCCCACACCATGTGTGTTGAGTGGTGGCCGGGACAATGGCCATGACACTGGCCAGGACAGCAGCAAGGCCAGTGCCACACGACGCGTGGTGGAGTTGGAGTTGGGACGCCAGCTACAAGCCAGAGCGGTCAGGGAAGGACAAGACAGAGAAGACAGAGGACAATGATGAGGAGCTCAAATACACCTACCTCGGTGGCGGTGGGAAGTCGTCCCTCCTCTTGCAGAAACAAGCGCAGTTGATCCACCAGCTCCTTCCGGAAGAGAAGCGTGTGGCGACGCTGACCCTCCACCAGTGGTGCCGTGGTCACGATGGCGGCGGTGTGGTGGATTCTTTGCAGCCTCTTGGTTGCATCCTTGCAGACGACTGGTTGGTCCCACATTAGTCGGTTGTGACGGACCATGCCAAGCGACTGTGGCCCCAATAGGTGGTCAGAAGGTTGCTGGACGTCTTCGGTCCGCACGAAGCGAGGAATCATTGCTCCAACCACAAGCCTGGCAGCCGCGAGTGGCAAGGCCTCGAAGGTGTTGCAGACGCGCCGGGAGGCGATGAACGATGTGCACCCTGATGATGGTGGGCAGAGCTCGGTCGGAGGAGCGGGTCGGACACAGCGTGTTGAAGATGTCCCATTTTGAGTGTCCACTGGTCGCGCCAATCTTTCCCACCATTTGGCAGACTCAGCTTTTTCTTGTAGCGCTTTGTCGCTTAGGCACTTCTACCGTAAGTCTGCTGATTACCTAAATTTTACTCTCCAAAATTTAGCAAATTTTTTGATTTACTAATGCACATTTATTCAAGAATACACAATAACGTAAAGCAGATTAATTTAGGTAAAACGTAAATCAATTTAGGTCATTTAGTGAATAAAGTTGGATCATTTTGGCAATTTAAATTATGATTTCATGTTGGTTTTTGTAGTAGTGTTTAAAAAAGAAAGTTATTTTTGAAGGAAAGACTCAGTGAGCCCTGTAGGCTCATCCCAAAAAAGAGAGCAGCCCCATACGTGAGACCGCACTGGTTTTTTGAAAGTTTACTTGAGCCAACCTTCCCTTACTTGAGAACAGCTGTGTAAGGATGTCTGGCAAAGAAGCGACGCACAGAACAATTTAAAATGCGTTGTTCCTGAGCATGCACTCACTGCAGACCAGTTAGCAATGTTTGGTTTCTAACCATGTCATGAACCTACTTGAGATTGATTGGAAAAAGTGCTTCGTTTCAGGTCATGCATTTACTTCACATTGCCTCAGAGTGTTTGGTGCTTGAAAACGCCTTTATCTGACAGCGACTCCCCTCCTCAACTTGCAATCCCATACTCAATGAAATTGCCAAAACTTGTCGAAACAGTGTCAAACACATCTCTGCACAAGTACAGCTCAAGTAAGGCTCAAGTACAAATTTGGAAGTGAACCACCACACAGGTAATCTGCAGCACACTTCAATCAAGGCCCAAGTACAAATTTGAACATACAAACATGTAATCAACGCTCTCAAGTAACCAGACCTCACAATGGTTTTTGGCCAAGTTAACCTATCCTCATGCAAAGCACAGGTCAGCTCAAGTACAACTCCTCAAGTACAATGACAAATCACACAAGTTCAGTGTGAGAAACCCTTTCAAAAATAGACTTTTCCTGAAGATTTGGTCCACATGTTCATAATTCTTTGTGATTTTTGATGAAAATGTGATTAACTTTTGAACTAGTTCATCGAAAGTTCATCAACACCATATGAAAAGTTCAAAAAGTTCATCAGTTCGATGAACTTTTTAAAGTTCATAGAGACATCATCAAAAGTTCTTCAAAAGTTCATCAAAAGGTTCCTCAAATTTTCATCAAAAATCATCTAAACTTAATCGTAAATGTATCCATTTATTAAAGGCAGGCCCCAATCTTGACAAGCTCGCAATGTTCCAACCGAAGTCTGGGTATCCCATAGTCAAAGGTAGGGCTGCAGGCATCTAGGGCCTGGCCCAGTGCCCACCAAAATAAACATCCAGGTATTCCTCGCTCAATGTTCAGCGTCACAGCTGTCTGCAAGAGTGCCACCCTACCTGTGGTTTCTTGACATTTCCCGAGGACCAGGCTGCCAAGCTGTACGCACAGGGGTTACAAATGGCGCAACTCCATGGGCAGCTCATAACTTTTATGCAGGTGAAGAGAGGGAATTACTTCGTATGGCCAGTAAGACCCACTTTTGTTTACACAGCCTCTTTCTGGCCCGGTATATACATCCTTTCCAAGTGTGGTTGGCATTTCAAAGGTGAGGCGACCATGCAAAAGGTCCAGAAACTTTGTAAAGGTTGCTTGGCTGGGTCTAATCGTTGGCAAGTTTCCAAAATTCAAAGAGAGGCGCTGTATCTCAGACACAAAGTGGGCTGAACAATTTGTGTGCGCTGCCCCAAAAGAATTTGCTTTACTTGCTCCAGGACATTTGGCTCACAAGTAACTCAAGTACAGGCATACTGCCCACAAGTAACTCGCAAGTAAAAGTCATTCTTGAGAACTTGGGCGCAAGCAATTCACAAGTACTACGTATACTCCAAAGTCATACTTGAGAACCTTGGACACAAGCCACCCACAAGTAAAAGTCATACATGAGAACCTGGGTCACAAGGAACCCACAAGTACAAGTTGATTTGAGATTAAGCAAAAGTCATGTTAGAGAACCTTGGGCGCAAGGAAACCAAGGAAGCCTGACTTGGTCACAAGTAAGTTTTGAGGAGCTTTCGCAGAACTATTGAACTTCGTAGATTCCCTCAAAATTTACATTTACACAAACATTTAGGTAAAACAACTAATTTCATCATTTTTGTAATTTTACTGACTTAAAAAACTTAGGTTAACAGCAGACTTAGGGTAGCTGGATGGCTGCCACATCCATGACGCCAACGAGCAGCATGCGTGAACTTGATACCCGGGGGTGTTGTTTACGTAACGCATGCCCTCGATTGAGCGCCCTCAATCCAATGTTGCGGGGTGCCTTGCTTTAACGTGGAACCCCATCCGTCATGTGCACGCATTGGGCAGCATCGCAGGAAGCCATCATCAAGATGGCCTTGGATGTCGACTGGTCAGACCCCACATTAGAGCCACGAGGTCGCAGGCCCAGATTGGGGGAGGTGAGGCGACGGCGGCTGACCCAGAGGACCCCACCATGCACAGCTTCATACACACCTCAGTTCTCAAGCCAGGGACAGTCAAGCAGAAGGCTGGCTCTCCCACAAAGTTATGCCACTCCTGCCACCAAGGAGGCGCCTCCAAAAGCGCCGGCTTCCACCCCACAAAGGCCAGCGCCAAGCTCCCCTCCAAAAGCTCCCCCTACCAAGCCTTCCCTGCCAAGCCTTCCCCTGTCAAGGCTCCTGCTCAGCTCACTGGCGTAGGTTGAGGCCAGAGCAGCATCAATGATTTCCAAGTTTTCTTGGCCAGGGAGTTCATGCATGATCTCGCGGTTAATGATCTCCAGCTTTACTGAAAGATGGAAAGCCAAGCTCTGGCGAAGTGAGTGGAAAAGGGCTTCCACAAGATGGACGGGGTGTGTCTGGTGTGTCCAGATCCATGAACCCTTGGACAAGCACCTTTTGAAATCCATGGTTTCAAAGCACCATGGGAGGTTTTGCTTTCCCGTGTATCTTCCAAGATATTGCACCTTTTTTCATCCCTGTTCACCCCATGAACTTTTCATTAGATATAGACCTCCGAGTGGCCCAAGTTAGGTGATTTACTTGACTGATGTGGTTGTTTTATGGTGGTGCTTTTCTGGGAAGAGGTTTCTCCCCACCATGCTGGAGTTAGAACACGTTGGTCAGGTGGATGTGGTTCAACAGAAAGGACGCCCCAAGAGCATTTGTGAAAGGGCAGGAAGGACCATTGGGGGACTATGTGATATTTGGGGTCTTAGTTTTAAATGCCTACTGCGCTTGAATTGGTGCATCAATAAGTAAGTGGACGTTTGTCCTTGCAACTTCCCAGGTTCGGTCACCTCCCCCCAACCTCTGAACTCCATGATAGTTCCCAGGAGTGTAGCATCGGTGCGGGATCAATTTGCGAATTCAGGTTGGGTTGGGTTGAAGATGGAATCAGGGATCCAAGTGGATTGTAATTCAACATGTGCCTACAAATGAGAATTGTGTGATCAAACCTGACTTCTGCTGGGCACACTCTTGGAATTGTTTAGGTGAGGACTTGAAACCAAAAAAACTTCGGACCTTGACGAAGCCTCCATTTTGAACACTTCCACAATTCATAGTGCTTCTCATGACCTCATGAAGAATTGAGAGCCCGCAGACCATTGTGCTTTTTAAAGAACTTAAGCACCCATTTCAAATGCTTGGGCGACGGCCGGATGGACCTTTTTCTTGGCTTAGGCCCTTATCCTTGCCTTTGAAGTCGACTGCACTGCTTTGCATTGACTTCCAGCCACTGGTCCAGAAGAAGGGGGCAACAATGCCGAAATGTTTACGTGAAAAATTTGGATTTGGTTGAATTGATAAGATGATGGAGATGTCCCCGGTGTCCAAACCATTTTCTTAAAAAAAACGGAACTTCACTACCTTTCAATGATGCTGGACCCCGAGTCGACCAAGGAGGTCATGGGCAAACCACCCTTCGGAGTCTGAATGCACGAACTTGCAGCAGTAAACATGGGCAAACCACCGATCCAACTGGATCCAACCATATTCAACCATCTTTAACCTCCACCTCCAAACGGATCCGCCTCAGGGTCGTTCGTCCACGGAAACCGACAAAAACGGTGTCCTGATCCTGCCGCCGAACGCGCCGCGAAGCGCCGGGAAGATGTCATGGTGGTTGCTGGCGCGCGGTTCGTCCACGGTCCACGGTTCGTCCGCCGCGCCGAGGAAGGACTTCTTGGACGTGGGCGGCTTCGGCCACGCGCTGGGCAATGATGTGACCAAGCTCGCTGACGAGTGCCTTCCAGGCAGGACGGACACCCCGCACCGCGGGCGGGGGGATGATGCACATGGGGAAGCGAGGAGATCCTCTTTGACATTTGGCTTTTTCTAATCACTAAAACACCTTATGAACATTCTCTTCTTGGCGGCAGGCTGTGGTTGTGGTTTGAGATGGTTTGAGGTGTGATGTTTGATCCTTACGCCACTGGGCCGGACAGGTCCGATCGAAGGGAGGGAACTTTCACCCACCGAAGCCCGATTCCCGTCGCGACTCGCGTTCGTTTCCGCCCGTGGACCGGAAAGGCCCATCGCTCAACGCCCAGCGAAACGCGAGTGAAACACTCTGCAGGTGCTGGGAAGCTGCTGGACGCTGCCCGGAAGCTGCCCTTAGCCGCCATCATCCACACGAAGGAGGCGAGAGAACGGCCCCCGTGCGGTCCAGGGGAGATTTTCGGGACCCTTTGCGAAGTCCAGTGCTCCATTTGGATGGATGAGTTGAGTAAACGAATTCAGTCATTTAGTCCATACATGTCTATACTATACTCATTGCTCACGACTGGCTCCTGATGTCACAGCTCTGTAGGTGAAGTGAAGCTATCAGAGGCTAACTCACTCCTCAGCAACCAGGCATTCATGTGCGACATCGTGTCAGACTGTGAGGCTCATCGGGAAGACTTGGCCGACTGCTGTGTCAGGGGGGCCCAAGTGATGCTGCATGTTGTTTGGAGTGGCTTGTAATCTAGCTCTCTTGTCTACAATATGTACTTGCCAAAAGTCCGATTTGGTTTGATACCAATTGACAAGGATTTGGGCCTCCTGTGCCCCAGAATCACCCGCCAGATATGTGCTTCGATTCATATCTCTAAGAAGACAGAACTTCCAAAAGGCACCCTAGAATCCACAGAGACCCATAATGCATTGATGCCCCACGACTCCAGCCCAGCCGGCCACGCGGGCCTCGAGGAGATGAAGCTCTGTGGGCCGCGGTGCCCGCCGGAAGACAAGCGCATCGGGCAGGCGAGGCCTTTGGGTCGATGGGTGGGTCGCTGTTGCGAGTCGATGGATAGGTGCAAAAGATTTGCTCCATGCAGCTCGGATTGAGGGGAAGGATAGATGGATTTGTACCAGAATCACTGTCACTAGGGGGGTATGACTGAGGATTAGTGTGAAGATGAGGATGACCATGAGGTGCATTCATTGAAGAATTGCATGGAATTCACCCCGTGACTCCAAGGGGAGTGAGTGAAAACAAACCAAAGGAGCCCCATGCCATGGCGGACCTCATTCACGACGTCTCGGACGTGCGGCGACTCAGGTGATGGTGGAAGGCATGGGTCGACTCTTGGTGGATGGTTCTCCTGGGAATGACTTCGTGGACGCCGCCAAGCCACTGGCCCCTCGGGCGGCAAGGGTCCCGCACATCCGGGGCGACCGGGGCCGGAGGATCTGAGTTGGGTGAAGTTTGGTGAAGCAGTTTGCAGGCAGGCTCACTGGTCAGAATGGTCAACAACTGTGATGTTGCATGGATTTACTGGGAGGTGGGTTCCACCATTCTCATTGAGCTTGGTGCCATGTTTTCTTCAGCACGTCTTCCTCCAGTCAGTTCACGTCAGTGCCCTGAATCGGAGCATCTCCGGAGAGTCCCGACCTCCGAACGATGCGTCGGGGTGTGACGCGAAAACCAAGGGCGAGCGGTTTGGAACGGTGTCGAACGTCTTTTTCGAACTTTCCCAACTCAGTTGAGTTGGAGAACCACTGCGCTTTTGCTTCTTCCTTGCCGTGAAAACCCTCCCATCCATCTGGCAGTTTCCTTCGCCTCTCTCAGGATGGCGAGATTGTGGTGCCGAAGCCAGGCGGTTTCCGTCGATTCGCGGCCGGTGTGCGGTGGATCTGACGGACATGGACCCTGAAAAACCACTGGCTCCGCGTAAAACCGCGGAAAACCGCTCGGACTGAGGGGTGCCAACGCGTTCCTTTGGGTCCATGTTAAGAGGAAGATCTTAAGAGTGTATCAATGATACCAACTGAGGATCCGGATCTCTTTGGTGCTCCCCAATCTTGGTGTCAAGCACCAGGGAGCGTCACTCTCCTCGACTTTGGCCCTTTGAAAGCAGCCCAGCACCCTCTCCTTTGCTGCTGGATGCTAGTGAACTTCGTTCTTCTTGTCCCTTCCGAGCGAGCGGAACCGAGCCACGGCACAGGAACCATCTCCCAGGTCCAGTCTGGCCTGTCGGTCCCAACCTCGCTAGTCTGGATGTTAACACCTGGTCCGAAAAGATCTGAACACCTCCTGTTCGTCGTGTTGTATGATCAACTCCAAAATTTCACGAACGAACCAACACTGACCTCGATCTCTAACTAGCAAAACCGTAGAACCCCCTAGGAGACCGGCCATTGGCCACCGTCTTGTTTGAGGAAGCGAAGAAGACCTCGGGGCACCGGGGCACAGTCTCACCATCTCCTCACCATCACCGAGGCAAGGGCGCCTTCTTCATGACCGGCCTCAACGAGATTTTGCGCGACAAGGGCGTCAGCCACTTGATCGTCTGCGGCGTCACCACCGAGGCCAAACGAGCGCCGTCCCGCCGTCCACGCGGTGGTGCGGGCGGTGGCTGCGGGCGGCGGTCGGTCCCACGGTTCTGGTGGGGGTCGCTTTCGGCGGCCTGGGATTTCATGGAGTGGAGTGGCGAGTCATGGTTCTGGAAACCATGGAAAAGGATGGACAAGGATGGCACCATTTAAATGCACATTGGACTCTAGAGTATCTATAGTGTATGGATGAAGGATGCTCCAAGATGTGGAGAGTTCGTTCTTGGCCGGCCAAGCTCTCCGAGCTCAACAGAGCTCTTTGATACATCTTGTGTTGAACCTTGATACATCTTCTGGCAAATCCAAAAAACAAGTCAAGGCCCAAAGAAAGGCCGAAACTGAGACTCCACCGTGTCCAAGATCCTCAAGGGTCTTGACTTCCAGCTGATCTGTCGATTTCACCACTTGGCCATCGGGACCCCTTCGCTCCATCCGGCCCCGTCCACGGACCGGTCACCGGTCAGGTCTGTGTGCAAACGACGATGCGCGAGGCCAACGACCGCGGATATGAATGCGTCCTGGTGGAGGCACCTTGGGGCCCGACCACCCCAAAACGGTGCAGGATGGGAGCGGTTCGCGGTTCGCGGGGACCGGAGGGGTTGTTTCGGGGAGGAGCCGCGTGGAGTGACTTCCGGACACTCCCCCGTTTTGGGACGGTGCTTCATGACCCGAAGACGATCTTCTTTTTGGAAGACCCGACCTCTCGACGTGTGGAAGGAGGCTTGAGGGTTTGGGCCCGAACTGAAAACCTTGTCAATCTGTAGTTTAGAGTTGTCAATCTGAAGACAATTGGGCCCTTGGTCCCTCAAAACCGGATTGGTTCGACCCCAGACCCCTCCCTGTGAGGGTCCATAGAGCGTTTGGGATGTAATTCGAATCGAACCTTCCAATTGGCCCATACAGCAGGCCCATAGGCCGTATACGTGGTGTGTTGAACAACCCTTCGCGAAGCCGCCAGCGACGCCAGGATGCCACGGCCAGCTACATCCCAAAGTTCAAGGCGCGACGCCCAGCGTTAGAGACCCAGGGCCCGATAAGGTCCTTGCTTGGACTCGGGCGGTTTTGAAGGATTTGCAGGTGGGGTGCAGTGGGTGGCTGCCTGTGAAGAAGTCAGCTTTCTTAAGTCCTTCCATGAATAAGACAGTTGAGAAGCAGAATGCACATGGGTTTTTGCGTGGCCATGTGATAGCTCAACCCCTTTTGGTGCGTAAAGGCCTCACTTCTGGAAGGTTGGACAGGGCACATATCCATCCGATTGTTCCAAACAATTCAGAGGACTCGGAACCATGAATGCCTGGACCTTAGGGACGAATCATTTTCTTCATCACCGGCCTTTCACCTCCTTGAGCCACGGCCACGGCCCTTCGCCCCTCCGTGCCCGGTGCGCCTGGCGCCCCTCCGTGCGGCTCGGCGAGAACGAACGCCGGTGGCGCGGACGGACGGACGGACGGACCGCGGAGGCCTCGGTGATTGAGATGGTGCGCTCCCAGGGCGGCATCGTGGGCTACACCGTGGAGCAGGCCGAGGTGCCGGAATACGTTTTCGTCGCCTTCGAACGTCGGGTTCGAACGTCGGGCGGCGAAAGGCGAACGGCATCGGAGGTGGAAGGTCGCGTGTCTGGCCACGAAAGGTGGCAGTGCGATGTTGAAGGTTGGAAGAGGAATGTTTCAGTTCGAGGATCTTGTATACTTCTAGTTGGTGGATCTGGGTGGCAGTCCGATGTGTCAGCATGTCGGCGCCACGAATTTCGATATTTGTGGTAGATGATCCAATAGATTGAATTAGCTTGGGGAGTTGAGGTCATGTGAGCTTCAGGTGATGTGGTTCTGGCCTCTCACCGCCCCTCTCGTCGGCTCAGGAGGTGGCGAGAGCCCTGAATGCAGCGGCGTGAGGACGTGGTTCCCGCGGTTCCCGCGAGCTCAGCGGGAGCGACGAGAATGACTAGTTGCAATTGGGGTCCAATTTGGGCCTTGTAAAGGAAGGGGATTCTCCAGTGCGAGTTCGCGAGTGGGAAGATGAAGGCATTCCAGTAAATTTTCCATGTGGACTGACCATCCTTGAAGAAGTGGGTCCTGGCATGGCGGACCTTTTGATCTTCGACCATGAAGGGGTGGGAGGTTTGATAGATGATGTGATGTCAAGTCCCTGAGTCCCAGGGTTCAAGAGAAGTGGGTCCTGACGAGTTCTTCTTAGTTTGGTGAAAAGGTAAGACATAGTAAGACATGTTGAGCGGATGCTGTAAGTAGACAGATGCTGCAAAGGTGCTACTAGATTGGCTTTGCAAACATCCGTTTTGTTAAACCAGTGATTTCTTCTTGCTTACACTTGGATCCCAGTGCAACATTTTTTCATCTTCGAGCTTAAACCCGGCCGTCCTCGCTGCCCGGGTAACTCGTTGCCCGGGAAGAGAGACGCCGACGCGACGCGGGTTCCAGGGGCCAAAAAGGTCTTTTCATCGGCGAACGAGATGAACCACGGCTTCTGTTCGGGTTCCGACGAGCGTTTTTCTTGACCGGTATACGGATCCTCTTGCGATTTCGGTGGAGGGTTGGGGTGGATGGGTGCTGCTGCATGGTTTTTTTGGGGGGCATTTAAACATGCATTCTTTGCAACCCTGGAGGAGTATCGAACCAAAAGTCTTGGGGCTGGCCGGAGTGAGCCGAAGTCTCTAGTGAGCCGGTCTAAAGGCTTAGCAGAGAAAAGATGGAATGCTGGATGATGTTGGCCAACACTCCCCAAAGGTTGCCCCCCACTTGTTTCAACCTTTGAAGTGTCTTGTCTTTTTGCGAGTCCACTTGTATCTGCATGTGTCTGCTAGAAGTCCAGCCTGAGGCCAACGCTTTCTGCTTTTTTGTCCTTGTTCCTCCGTTCATGGGCGTAACACACCAGGTGAGATGAACAGACCAGGTGAGATGGATCTTCCACGATCATAGCACCCAGAGCCCGACCGAGTCCGACCTCCGTCGGTAGGTCCACTGGTCGGGACGGTGCCATAGTCCTCCACTCGTGGAAGATGAGATCACGAGCTCCAGCTCCATGATCACTTGGACTCTTCCCATATTCCTCTTTCACTTCTGTTCCTCAGAAAACGAGTCACTGGTAAACACTCCCCCCCAACCCGTCCGGCCGCGCTGCTTCCACCGCGTCCGCAACCACCGTGTGGGCTCGCAGCTTCACTCGGGTGCCGGTTTGGACACCAGGCCCGGAAGGGGGTGACGCGCCACGGGGATGGTTGGGGTCGAGTCTGTGAAGCGTTGGGGTGGTCGGTGATGGTTGGTGTGTGTTTCAGGGTGGATCCCTGAGTTGACCCCTAGGGCCCTATAGGGCCCTTTTGGGTATCCCGGGGTATCCTAGGTATCCTAGGGTCGAGAAAGTATTTGAGCATTATGCATGCTTTTGTTCGCTTGCAAGGTCGTAGGTGAGTGGGGCCACCTTGGTTTCCTTGCAGGTGTTAGAACAAATACACAGATACACTCACTTTACCCCATCCTTTCCTTTCTTTTGCTTGCCGACCATCAGCCCATCAACCACCGCCATCGATGGAAAGCCCGAAGTGTCTTCGGCTGAGACCATGGAGACCTATGACGAAGCGGAAAAGCACTTGGACAATGGAGACCTTCAACTCTGCGTGAGGCACCGGTGTAGGTCTCTCCACACCGTTTGCTCTGCACGTTTTATTCCGGAAATGGTTGGGAGAAGGCGTGGAACTGGTTCCAAGAAAGGGAAACTCTTGGATTTACCACCCCAAAACACCTTTAAAAGCTATTTTCAGTGCTTCTGCGGATCCTCAGCCTGAAACAAACTTTGGGGTGGAGTCTTAGGTCACAAAAAGACGGGCTGTAACATGGTTCTTTTGTTGGGGACGGCTACAAAAAAGGAGGCGTTTGATCTTCGGTGACTCAATTAGATAAACAACAATTGTATGTCTTTCTCTACTGGACTCTTCCTCCTTCGACTGACTCAATTTCTGAGAGAACATGGGCACCGTACCCGAAATACACAACCTCGGTCTCAACAGGTGTGCTTCGTTCCTTCTTTGCGCCACAGGTACCTTTTGGGTGGCACCGCTTTGGCCAAACGCACCCAAAGTTGACCACAAATCCTGGACTGCCCCATTGTGTGGAAACCCTCGCACTTGATCATTCAAGATGATTATTCCGCAAACCCAGGATGGAACTCACGTCCAACTTGACCTGTTCAGCCTCCGCCCACCTGTCTCGCCCGTGTCCCGTCCAAAAACAACGCCACGCTGTCTCGTGGTGCGCCAGGAGTGCTGAAGATGCACTTGCAGAGTCCCACAATGCAGGTCGTCCACCAGTCGCTTTGCACCTGCTGGTCGAGACCTTGGGCGACTGAAGAGACCCGGTGAGGGACCGTGGTCGGGGCCGTGAAATCCGGTGCCAGACGATCAAAGGACTCAAAGGACCCATGGAGGACCCATGGAATCCCATGGAAAAAACATTTGTGCACCTCCAAGTGAACAACATTGAACCCTTCGATCACCTCGAACAAGACCTTCGCACCGTGCGTTCGGTGCGTTCGGTCGGTGTCCACCGATGTTTGTCCTTTGCGGGAATTGGCCGCAGACCGCCGTGCCCAGGTGCGTGCAAAGAAGCGCTTAGGTGCTCCAGCTGGTGATTTGGTCACTCGGCAGATTCTAGGGCTCATGTGGAGCCACCGAGTCTTAGACCTTTGGTCAAGACTTACACCTTCTAGGATCAATGACATGCCCATACATGACCTCTGTCAGAAACCAATCCGCATGAACCCCCAAAACAGACTCGACTCGACAGGTGCGGGAGGCCTCCGAGAAGGCGCGCAGCCAAGAGATGCCGTGGAAGGCGGCGGTGAAGTTGGCCGAGATCTCCTTGAGCTTGGGCGAGAGCCGACTGAGCGATGCAATAGAAGAAGCCAAGGCCTATTGGGACGGGCGTAGCAGATCGTAGCAGGCGTGGAACAAGTGTTTTCGTTGGTTCTAAGTTTCTGACTGGTGCGACTGCTTCGTAGGGAACGAGGGAAAGAGCTCCCCATGTCAGTTCTTCTTTGGGATCCATACACTTAGCACCATGTCAGCTGTGTGGGAAGCCAGAGGTTTTTCTTTTCTGGGTGTTGGGGGCTCGGTACAGTGTGGAACCGTTGGACTTGGGTATTTGAAAAGCCTGTTGGCTGATTGGAGACTTCTTTGGTTTTGAAACAAAATGGGTTCGATGAAAAGGAAGAGGTTGGGCCAGTTGGTCCGATGGGATACAAACGATTCACGGTGGCACACTTGCGATCTTCCAACTCTTTTCCACCGCTAACTCCGTAAAGAACAGCTCTGAAGGCCTTTCCGACATCTTTCCATCATGTTCTTCATAAGGCCAGGAGCTTACGAATAGCATCCCTGCTCCGTTCGAGTCGCGAACCTTGTTCCGTTCGAGTCGGCCAAGGGTCCGGCCCCGTTCGAGTGGCGTCCTCTGATGTTCCCCTGGGTCACCAGCCGAAGTCCCGGGGCTCGGGACATCCACGGCTTTGGCGGAGGACTTGAGGTCCTTAGCCGCGGAGCTGCCAGCCGCCGAGGGGAAGCTGCATCGATTGACCTTGAGCATTCAGGTGGGGCCAAAGGGAAAACAAGGGAAGATAAGAAGTGGGTGCGGTGTGGAACTCTGGAAGGGGATGAAATAGGGCTTTTTGGTGAAGCCGTGGATGACACATAAATTTTATACGTGGCTTTGTTTAGGAATCCATCCATTTTTTAGATCCTTTTTCCGGATGCGTTATTTTTTTTCCAGCTTTTGGTTTGGCCTTGTTGTTTGGCTGTAGGTGAACGCCTGCTCTTGGCGGCATCAAGAGAGCTGACTGGATGGCTTTTGAGATGGCTTTGAGGGTTGTATAAATTGATGAATGGATAGAGAGTTCCAGAAGATGGCTAGACTGTTGGATTGCCAGTTCAGGGTCCATTCTATTCTTCCTTCGCGGCAGGTCTGAGGTGAGAATGTTGAAGCTCCAATCATGATAGAGCTTCTGGCTAGACTTCCCCATCCCCTTCTCTGCATTTCCCCAACTTGTTTCAGTCCATTTCCACTGCTACACCCACATTCCACCCTTCAAAAGCAGTCAACCCACACGAAACTCACCCCCAAACACCCTCCATCTCCACTCCCACATTGACCCCATCCCTTTTTCTCATCCACCCCATCCCTTGAGTTCGTGGCCGAACAGCGCGGACCATTCAGCTCCTGCAGAGGTGACCGTTCAGCTGGCGCGGGGCGCCCTGGACGAGGCCATGCGCGCGGCCATGGAGCTCCTGGCCGCTGCCCAGCGGCGCCAGGACAAGGGCGCCGAGGCCGGTGCCTGGCTCCGGATTGCTGAGGCGCGGCGGAGGCAGACAGTCCTTCATCCGACTCATCCCACTCACCTTCTCTTCTTCTTTTCCGTCCAGGTCCATCGTCACCGGGAGATGATGACCGGCTCGAGTGCCACCGCCTCCACCGCGGAGGAAACGCTCCAGGCTTCCGAGCGCTCGGCCGAGCTCTACCGGGGCGCCGCGGGCGCCGGCGTGGACGCCGCGGCGGAGCTGCGGCGGGGCGTGGGCTCGGCGCAGGTGGAGGCGGCGAGTGCGTGCGTGCGGCTGGGGCGGCTGCGGCAGAGCATCTCCTTGGCCACGGAGGCAGGGCAGGAGGCAGAAGGGAAGAGGTCATGGACCGGTTTCGACCAATGGGAAGCAAGTCTCTTGATGACCATTTAGTTTGGCATTTGATGTCCATTTTGTCCACGAATCTCAGTGTCACCTTTAAAGATATGTTGACTGAAAAGAAACCATGTCATAAGAGTAAAACAACTTTGTTTGACCCTTGAATCCCTCAAACCCATCACATGCACGGGGTTCCAAAAGCCTCCAAACATGGAGACATCTTTTGGACAGATGCAACCTGAAACTGAGCGATCCGCTATTGATCACGCCTCAAGACCATCTTCAAGTACTTCAACACCTCCCTCAATCGGCCGTCTTGCCGAGTCAAACGTTCAGGAAATGCACCTTATACAACAAATCACCTACATCGGATCTTTCTTTCCAGCAAGGTGAAATAGCTCTATGACGTCATATATTTGGTATAGATCCTCCCACTTCCCGCCAAAACACCAAAACGCCATCCATCCCTTCATGGACTCTCATATATTTTGTATAAACCTCATACATTGCCAATCCCTTCCAATCCCTCATACTGCCAATTTGGTATAACCTCATCCATCCCTTGTTTTCTTTTTCCATCCCACACCGAGGCCTCCCTTCCTCCCACACCGAGGCCATGGGTGTCTTCCGCTCCTTGGGTTTCCTGCACCGCTTGACCGGCGCGCTGGACGTGGAGCTCGAGGCGCGACGGCAGCTGATGGAGCCCATGATCGGCCTGCAAGCGGCCAACCGTGAGCTGCAGCTGCTGCGAGAGAACAAGGGAGATGGAGAAGCCACCCGAGGCTTCAGCCAGGTGGGAAGATGTAGGTAGGGAGAGGAGGATGGGAGTGCTCGGGAGTGCTGGTTTTCAAGGGGCTTGGTGACCGTTTCTGTCGCGTGAGTGGGTTTTGGGTCGTTGTTTTTAGGTCGAACCAAAACGGGAAGGAGACAACTGTATCAGACCGTGACCACCTCCAATCCTTGGCATGAAGCCTGGAGCGCCGTGCTTATTAAGTGGCCGATCGCCGCTTCAAGGCAATGGCTTCTTCATGGATGTTCAATCTATACAGAAACTTAAAATCCACGACGTGTCTTTGTTCTTTGGTCCATCAAACCCTTCTTTTCCACTCCAATTCTCTTTCCACGGCCTGTGGTCACCGCGACCGCCTGCCTCGCTAGCGAGGCGGAGGCCGAGATCCTGGAGGCCATCGCGCGGACGCACGGCGCGCTGTCCGAGCCGCTAGGCGCGGTGCGGAACGCGCTGCTGGCGGCCGAGCTGCGGAAGGAGATCCAGGCGGAAAGGGCGGTGGAGCTGCGGGGAGGGCGGTGGACAGGTGCTGGAGGATGGAAAGGTGGTGGGTTAGGTATAGGCTATAGGTGATGGATGGGTATGGTACCTTGGGCTTTGGTGCTTTGATGTGATATTTTTGGGAGTGGTGTGGAAGATGATGGGTAGGGAGCTGGGGTGAGGCTTTGATGTGTCAGAGTGGGGCTAACAGATGTTTCTCCAACCTAACCTGGCACTTTGCTGCTTTGCCACATCACTCCGAGCCTTTTCCTCTGCGGCTCAAGAGATAGTGTTTTTATTTATTGGTAACACATTGTATTGAGATATATTAAAAAAAATCAACATTCCTAGAAAACCAGTTGGTCCACCTGCTTCCTAGATATATACATTTGCCAAGAATTTGTTCAAAACCTGTCCAACATCCAACCGCCCAACCATCCTCTATCTCCGTGCCCCCTCCTCCTGCCCTTTCAGCCCACCAAGTTCGGGTCTTGCTTCGCCATGCTCTGTCCGGACCTCGCCTCCCTTTGCTCTCCACCTGCCACCCTTCTCGCCCCCTCTACGCGCTCCATCCAGGACGAGGTGGGAGAGACCAGCGCGCTGCTGCTGGCCGCGGACCAGCAGCGGAACTTGGGCGAAATGATCGACGCCACCGAGACAGCAGAGCGCGCGCTGGCACTGGCGAGGAAGACGAGCCATGCGCGACATGAGGAAGAGGTGTGAAGTAGAGCTGGGGAGAGGGAAGGGAGGAGGTGTAGAGTGACACAGTTGGGGGGTGAAGAGCCAAGTTCAAGACGAATTGTTGATAAGGACCCCTTAGAAAACTGTACTCACTCGATTTTTCTTGTTTTTGTTGTTTCCTTTTCTTTTTAGCCAGAGTGGTGTCAGTTTGGGTTGAGAAGAGCCCAGGTGGATCATGAACATTCCAAGTCTGTTGCCCAGGCCGCCCGCGTGCTCAGCCGCGTGCTGGCCGAACGAGGTGCCGACCTGCCACTTGCTGCTGCGCCGGTGGTTTCCATGGGTCTGTAGCTTCGTTCTACCCCACCCTGGCCTCGTAAGGGTTAGACAGGTCTATGTCTCTCATCCACGCTGAGGTCACCTGATAACCCGCATGAAGCCGCCTGAAGCCGCTACCCGCGACGTGTGCGACGTGTCTCGCGACCAGCCGTGCTTTCGACCACAGGCTTGAACGACCAAGCGCCTCAGAGACCGCAGGCGCTCCAAGCACTAGAGGCTGCCCGCTTGCAATGACAGGGACTGGGACCCCACCTGGGACCAGAAAGGAACTTGGTGAGCTCTTTCGGTTCTTTCCCTTTTTGATCCCTTTTGGAACTCTTGCTTCTGTTTTTTTGGGGTTGTTGTTGATCTGGTTAGCCAAGCAAAACCCTCCAACCTCCGTTTTGCATTGATCCAATTGATCCAAGCTCCGTTGTGCTTACCTTGGACCGGTCGTGGTCGTGGGCGGGTGGAGGCCTTGATCTCTGCAGTGAAGCTGCGTGATGGGGCTGCAGCCAAGGTGCGCCATTTGTTGGGAGCTGCGAGGGAGGGTTTTGGTCCAGACGACAGGGAAGGTCCTCCGGAAGCTGCGAGGGAGGGTGCGAGAGGGGCAAGTTGGTGGATGTTTGGAAAAGCCAAGACGACCACGGCTGATGGTCTGATTTCAGTGGGGAAGAACGGACCAGAAAGCCCCACCAAAAGCCATGTCAAAAGATGTCAACACATACATGTCCAAAAAAAATCACCCCAAAACGGCCAAAACCCAATGGGTCTCGGGTATAGGCGGTGTCTGCCCTCTCTGACCTCGGTGGGGCCCGGCGACAGGACTCGGAGCGGATGCTGAACTCCTATGGCAACTTGGTGACCAACAAGGCCGCGCACGTGCGCGCACGTGCGCGTGGCGGACAGCACTGGCTGGAGAGTCTTCTTCTTTTTCTTCTTCTGCCTGTGTGTGGTCGATTCTTTTCTTGCTTGTGTCTGCTGTTGTGCTGGTCAAGTTCATGTTCCTGTGCCTGGGGATTTAGGACTTGGGAGAAACTCCCCAGTTTGCCCAATTGGCATCCGAATCCCCAATCAGCTGCTACCATCACAGATTTTTCAACCGCGCATGCAGCATAGGGCAAGGACAACCCTGTTCTGAACATGGAAGGATAGCAGAGCCGTTGCAGACACGAGCATCTTTCCATAGTGCATGCCGTTTAGCCAGCTCATTGGCAATGTCTGCAATCTGCTTCGTTTACGTAGCACGTCCATCTGCCCCAGCCGGTCCCCAAAATCAGGCGCCTTTGCTTCTTGTTCACTGGCCCGGATCCGCCCGGATCCGCCCCGGGCCGTGCCGCACTTCTCGGAGGACATCGCGGATCATGTGGTGCCGCTCATCAGCCGAGATCCCGACTCGGTGAAGTTCCTCAGGTGCCCGTGGAGACGCGACCTCGCGCGTTTCGGCCGCGCCGCCGACGCGGCGTGCGTGGTGAAGTTCATCGGGATTTCACCCCCTAACGCAGGCTGTTCCAACAGTTGAAGGGCCTGAACTAGACTATCCCAGTTGGGTACCGCAGGTTACGGTCCTAGAAGGTCAGTGGCTACCTCTCTTGGTTGTCAGGCTTTGGGTGCGTTGGGTGATTGCGTGATCGGTGGAGGTGCATGGTCTTCGGAAGGAGGGGAGGAGCTGACGGCAGGGCGGAGGCGGAGTGGGGGCGGAGGCGGTGTGGGGCAGGCGTGGAGGTTCCAGAAGAGGCGGTGAAACATTGATGGCAGCTTTCCGGTGATCCAAATGAGATGGATGGCATCCTCTATCTAGACATGCTTCCGCCCCGGCCCCGGCTCGACTGCTGATTTGGGAGCCTTCTGCGAAGCCGGCGCTTCGACGTCGGCGCTTCGCGCAGGGAGGAGCTGGGCTGGAACATCGAGAAGCCATACACCCAGAAGCAGAGTGGCAAGGCCCGACTCGGCCCGACCAGCCGGTGTTGGTCGGGATTGGAGGGTCTTTGAGCACTATATTCTATAGATTGGGCCTACGCTGTTGAGCAGATGTTTGGGGCTACAGGGCTAGCGGCCTGAAATGCTCCAAACATGTGTGTGTGTGTGTGGACTCGTTTTCGCAGCCCGCGGGTCCACGGGACGTGACGCAGGAGATCCGGCACTTGGACTTCTACTTGGCACACCGACTCTCAGGCGCCCCGGTCGCTTCTTCGCCAGTCGAGGGTCTGAAAGAACGGTTTTGGGGCTCTGAGCTCACCGAGTGAGCGAGCGGCTGAGTGAACCGCGAGGTGTTCCGCTTTACCCCGCCATCACGCGCGTGCCGGCAGGTATGGGTTTCGGCCCTCAGTTCAAAGTGGCCGGGGGCCCAAGATGGCGCTAGCATCGATGGATCATCCCCGTCCAGCCACTAGTGCACCTGGAAGATCAAGGTCTACTCGCCCACATAGGACATTTAGATACACTTTGAATACATTTGGATACATTTGGCACAGACATCAGCAAAGATCCTGAAGAACATCAGACGACCCACATGTATGATCAGTATGATTGGCATATGATGATTGGCATATACCATGAAACATCAATCACCACTCCCTTTGTATATATAGAACGTTCGCTATGTTTCCTCATCCATCATGAATCATCAATCCAATCATCCAAATCTTTGGACACATCACTCCTTTTACATCGACCGATCTCCTCCGCTGTCCGAACCGCTCGCTCTCCGGGCGGGCTCTCTCTCTCTCTCCACGTCGCCTCTCCACCGCCGGCGGCGGCTCAGTGCGACATGCCCTGGCGCGTCTGGGGCTCCACGCCGGCGGCGGTGTCGGTGAATCAGCTCCCCGAGACCGAGGCCGACAGCGGGGGGGACCGGAGCGGGAGAGACTCCGGAGAGACCGGAGCCCCAACAAAAGCGGGCAGAAACAGGAGAAACGGATAGAAACGGAGTGTTATTTGTTTTTGTTTTTCTGTTTTCCCCGACTATTTTTCGTTCGACTATTTTTCGTTGGAGTAGAAAGCATTCCATTGAGATGGACATTTAGGGAGTGAACACCAATGTGTTGTAAAGGACAATGGTCAAACCACCCTGTTTTGGTAGAGGAAAACCCAGGGGCCATGCCGTCCACTTCCATGATTGTGTGAGTCAGAGGGTAGATCTTGGAACTCCGCAACACAATCTTTGCCAACCTTGGCTGGCTTTATTATACATGATAACAAGGCAGACCTTTTCCGCGCAGGTATGTCGGATCCAGGTATGTCAGATCTATGCCAATAGGAAGTTGCCTATGTGAATAGACAGGGAGCAACAACCTATCCCAATCGGCCTGATTCCTGGAGGTTGTTGCGAAAATGGATACCGGTTGGTCAACACATGGTGCTCCCTGGAAGTTGATGGTGGCCGTTGTTGGTGGAAGTTGTCGGTGGCGGTCTATGGTATTGGTCGGTGACATCAGGTGCTCCTCTGAGCATGTCTGAACTCATTCGAATTTCCAGGGTGGTATTTTGGAAGGTTCTCATGACCATACTCATACAAATGTGATGGTTGGTGAACAACTCAGACATTTCCAAAGCAGTTTCCAAAGCAGACTCCCCGCTTTCGTCCCCATTTCAGCTTCCAGTCGTCTTCGTCGTTGCCTCGTTGCAAAACCTCTGGAAGTCATGACGGTGGATCAGCTGCCAGCTGCTTCAGGTCAATAGTTGGGTCAACCGGAAACGGCTCGAGGGGGGGTGAAACCGCCAGCCGCACGCCGCGATGCGTCGCGATCTGCCCCGCGCGACGCGACGCGATATGACGCTTCGCGCGAGCCAGTGAGCACTCCGCCGACCAGGCATGGCAGATGGAGATGATGTTCCGTCCAGGCCCGTGACATCCCCATCCCTGCCCGACGTGGTACGCGCGCGGGTGGTCGTGCGGCACGATGGGTCGATGATGGTCGATGTGGCGACGGAGATGAAAGCGGGGACGCTTGGAGGAAGGGAAGCAGTGAAGATCCAAATCCAAATCCGGGGATCGTTTTCTGTTCTTGCAAAACAGGGTAGAGTGAGTAGAGCAAGATCTGGGGATGGTTTCTGTTGAAGTTTCTTCCACATGTGCCACACGTAGCCTCTGCCCGTCGTCCAATGAACTACCCCACACTACCTATAGGCTTCCCGACAGGGCACCCCTTGGAGGATCCTGGTAGCATATCCATACATGATGGTGATGGAAAGAGACCTATCCTCCAGGCTTCATCGATGCCGGCCTGCAGTCCGGCATGGTGCATGCGCCCTTCTTTGACCAGTGAGGAGGACGGACCGCCTGTGGCGCGCGTGTGGAGGTGAATCCAAGAAGCAACCGAGACTGGTGAGGAGTGATGATTTCAGTGATGATTTCAGTGATGACCCTCTGAGTCCTTTTTTCGCTCTCCTGACCTCATCGGTTTATGGTTAAGTATAGACCGGTCGAAACGACCTGACGACCTCGGTCGTCGGCCTTGCCCGGACGCCCCGGGGGTGGACCGGCACGACTTCTCAGGTGCCATCAAGTACGATGACCGTTGGGTCGTACTTCACTGAGTCATTATCAGATTGGCAGTCTCCCTTTCGTTGGTGGATTGTGATGGCCTGGGCAATGGTGAAAACCAGCTTCGCATGTCTCGTTTTGGGGGATTGGTCCATGCTTTTGAGGCATTGGTATCCCGGTTCTGCCAAAACGCATGGCTCCTCGCTCCTCTCAACGTCATGCCAGTTAAACTGTTTTTTACTTGGACCATCCGACCATCTGGGTGTCCTGTCTGGACATTTCCAAATAGGGAAGTCCAGCCAGGACACCCAGACACCCCAGATGGTCGGATGGTCCAGGTATGTTTTGTTGTTTCATTTGGTGCGTCGTTTCACCCCCAACCCTATGGCACTTCGACCACTCAAGCCATAGCTAGCTCGACCCTACGGCCGTTCCTGAGCGTCCCGACCAGGAAACGTCGCGTGAATGATGAGGGGCGGCTGGGGCGGCGGAGACCAACACACAGGTCAACGAGGGATTGTAATCTTGTCCCACCCATGAGAAGCTCGGTGCTTGGATCACCTGCAATTTGAAGCTCTTGGATTGGGGTGTTTTTTTTTTTTTTTAAACTTTTCGCCACTCAACAGATCTAAACATGAGATGGAACGATGTTAAACCATGGTTAGCCTCTATTTTTCCTAGGAAACTGAGTGAGTCTGTGTCACTCATTCCTGGTGGTGACACGGCGATGTGATCGAAGCTCCATGGTGAGATTGAATGAACTTGAAGCTCACATTATATATCAATATATATCAATATTATAGTTTATTGTTTTTGTTTTATTCATTAGTTTACTTTTTTTTAAAGAGCCACCTGGTGTGAAAGAGAAGAAGACATCTTGCAATCCCTCACGCGCGTGCTGAAATTGAGCCCGATCTTCCAGCTGTACTACTATCCTGAGCATTCAGAAAACTCAGAAGCTCCAGCCGTAACTTAAGCAATGTCAGAATTTCGACAGGCTTTGGCCTTGATACTAGTTTTGATGCTAAACCATTTAATGAGGTGGCTAGGATGTTGTGATGCAACACCAACAAGGAACCATCAGACAAGTGCCAAAGCGCCAAGCCGGCCAACAAAAGGAGCAATGGATCGTTCGTTCCACATCGATGTGCGGTTTGAAAGGTAAGAATTTCCCAAGCAGCAACGTGACCCATTCCTTACACCACCCTAGTGCAAATTGTTGCACTCTGTTCCTTTTGTCAGAAGGTTATGATGTTCAAGCATAGTTCTAGCATGCTTGCAAGCACTAGCATTTTTCACTATTCTTTGCCTGCTTTTCTTGTGCGCTGTTTTGCCAAGCATGATGTGAATGTCAGTAGTAACTTAGTAGTTTCTAAAGGCAAACACATCTATTGGACTTTTGGGAATTGACCCCAGACGAATCACCAGGCTAAGACCCATCGCAACAGTCACCTCTACCACAGATCGGATACTCATCCAGCTACAGGGAATTGGCCAATTGGCCACAAAAATCATCACTTCAATCCCTGGATCCACGATCTGGATCTTAGCCGTGCAGAAACACGCTTTTCCGTCCGTGTGAAAGCTCACGCCGCCATGGCGTGCGACATCCTCAAGTGGTGACCTCAGGAGCGACCGACCAAGGCCTCGGCCTCCGGGAAGGCGCCCGGTGTGGCGCGGAATCCGAAGGTGTTACGCCCTGTAGACCTGACGTTGACCCGAAAACACTGCACACAGTGGAGGTCTGAAGCCCGCATTTGCAAAGGTCGGTCTGGTCCATGTGGGGCGATTCGTGGGGCTCTTCCCGGCTGTATGTAGTGGTCTTGACGGATCTTCCTGGTTCCAAGCATGTTGAAGGACAGGAATATGCCATCCTGAATCTGGAGCATGGAGGGGATATGAGGGGATTCCATGGCCCTTTCAGATACATGGCCATTTCAGAGGAAGTTCCTGCAACACCTAGTGACATTATCCATCCAAACCCTCCGCCTCTTGCACAGCTCAAAAAAAAGCCTGGGTTTTCACCACTGGTGAATCAACCCAGCGCAGCCCAGCAGCACCGCGCGCAACATGCGCAGTTCTGCAGGTTCTACAAATGGGGCCAGTTCATTTGCTTCATCATCGCGCCCGGGGCATCCAGTGATGACCCGTGGCGCCCGGCATCCGCCTCCAGTGATGGGCCACGGGTCGTAACGAGAGCTGCGTTGAGCATACACAAAGCGAGAGTCCAGCGAATGAGCTGTGTTTAGAGAAACGAGTTTTTTAAATCTTAATGTGGGATACAAAAGAGAGAGGATTGAGGTGTGTGAGTTTTATTTCTGATGTTGTTTCTTTTTAAGAGGGCCCGAAGCTGTGATCTTATGTTCCCGGCCGACCAGGAGGGTGTGCACGTACTCCTTGCAAACAGAACATTACTTCAAACACTATCCTACTTGTATACTGGGTTTATTTGCCCCCTCTTTTTGGTGACGTTTTTTTCCTACTGAATTACATAGGTACATGCAGGTCTCAAAAGAATCAATGTTACAAGATTCCAGGCTAGCCTTTCTTGGGTCAGCTGTAGCACCTGATACCTTTCTCTTTTCCTTGGGTCCCAACCTCCAGAGACGATATCTCCGGATCCGCCCTTCAACGACAATCTCTCTGAATGGTCTTCCAGGTGGAAGGTACCTGGCACTCCAGAGACAGGAATGGGGTATGGGTACCACACCCGTTCGTCATCGGTGGAGCTGATTTTGGTGTCCATTCACCACCTTTTTGGGCGTGACGGATCTGAGCATCTCTTAGGCGCGCAACGAATTCCGGCCGCGGCACACCGAGGACCATCGCGCTGTACTTGACCTTCAACTGCCCGTGCCGCAATGATACCTATTGTTCACTGACAGGGTATCCCCTGTACTTTCAACCAACCAATAGCAAAAGGCCATCCATGAACTGAGTTGGTGCTGGGTTCCAAGGTTCCGGATCGAAGACGGTCTGAATTCGTGCAACGATCTTGACGGGAGTTCTTTTTAAGTGTTAGTTGGAATGAAGAGGCGACCTTCAGACTTTCAGCCGTCCGATCCTGGTCTACTTGGCCTCCGGCCGCCAGGCCTTCTGGGAGACCAAAGGGGGTGGGCGCAGACAGCACCGTGCAGAGCTTCACACCGCAGACAGCACCAGGTATGCCACCGTTTGCCCCGCCGGCTTTGCTGCGATGCTGGTGCCACGCGCGCTTTCTTCGCCGTGTGTGGAGTCGTCGCATCGCGTGGATGTGTGGTTTCATGCCTGGGAAAGGAGGCAGCAGCCCCCCTAGACTGCCCAGTCAGACGTTTCGACCCATTGACCGTTTTTTAGGTAACTTCCTTTTCAGGTCACTCGGTGTGAGACGATCTTCCTTTTGACACCAAAACCTTCACCCCCCAAAACACCGCATGATTCATTCACCCAAAGTGTCGTGTTTTGGGACACCAAAGTGTTGTTGACACCAAATCCTTCACCAACAACACATTGGCCGATCATTCAGCCATCATCCGGCCTGGACAGATTACGGGCATCTTTGCCTCGCTGACGGTCTGGAGCTCCCAGTGGCGGCCGTCGCGCACGACGGCTCACGGTGACCTGCAAAACCCGGTTTGGAGGAGAGCGTGAAGGGAGCGGATTGAAGGGGGGTCATCCACCCTTCTAAATAGCCTTCCAATCACCTTTGATTTTATAGTGGTCCCCAAATAGATGGAAACGATTTCCAAAACATTTGGAAAGGATTTTACTTTTTCTCTCTATTTGGCTATCAGGGCTGACCTTTGCCGCGCCAAAATGGTTGACCTGCAGTTCTAAGGACTGCTTTCTTATGTTTTCTTTTTTATCTAAAGTTTTTAAGTCACTGGACACCCCTGCCCTCCTATAGGCACCCCTTTGGAAGTCCTGATTGACCTGGTTTCGTAGTGCAAACAATATCGAACAATCCTGAGTAAAACAACGGTGGTGAAGTATGGTTAAGTGAGAACCCTGAAATCCACCGCGCTTGGAAGCACACCCCCTCCGTTGGGCGGTGGACCCGATGCGCTGACAGCACAACCTCGTGATGAATATAGACAGTGATAGTCAGCGATAGTGAGAGCCCTTGAAGGGTTCTTGTCTATCATCATTGGTGAACCCCAACAGAAATGTTCTGAGTCTTGGAGCCTTGCGTTCTTCTTCACTTTATATAGATCCCTGGCTTACCACCCTCGGAGAGTCCTTTCAGTTCAGATCTTCTCTTCCCTCTCTCTCACTCCACCCTTCGCTCGGCTGCCCGCGCTCCTTCGGCTCCTTCGGCTGCTTAAGCAGCTCAGGGGATCATCATGTTCTTCGTGAAGCGGTCCTTAAGCCACGTGCGGAAGCTGCACATCGACGACCTCTCGGCCAAGAAGATGTCCGCCCGCACCCGAGCCGGGGAAGAGGGGCAGCGGGAGGTTGATGAGCTGTGGCATACCGGTTCTCCTTATATAATTGCAACCTGGGCGACACAAGTCTCCCCAGGTTGCAGAGACCGGGCCTCTTTTCCGCAGCTCAAGGAGACCCAAGGGACCTCTCACACCAGTCCCATGGAGACTGTACTGCTACCAATGACCACAGCCGAGCCCCTGACGATTCAGATCATTCTCCCATATTCTCCTCCCCTGATAGGCATCACATGGCATCACCAAATTCATCCATTTCTATATAAATTCTTCCAATCTCCACTACGATCACCCCACCGACGGATCGACTGGTGCCGCGCTGAGGCCAAGACGGCGCAGTGCGGGAGCATCGCC